ATTTTATTTCTATTGGGATATCCATCATTCTAATTTCTGTAAGTTGTATTTTATTGTTGACAATGACTGTATCGAAATATCTAAATAGAAATAAAATGATTAAGTTTAGATTATCTGCAAAACATATAATTCATTAATATTACAATTCATTCTACATTTGAAGTTTATTGTATAATTAAATGATAAGTAATTATGCCATGCTACACGTAGGTTTTTCGCTGCGTAGAACTCAATTATGAGAAACAGACGTTTTTACTTAGATCAATGATGACACTGTGATTTTATATTAAATAACTCCTTCGGACCACTTGAGATCATCTTTCTGTGTCAACGTTTACCACGTACATATGAAAGATAGAAGTCATTTCTGTAATTAGTTCGATATGAGAATATGATTATTTATTAAATATGTTATTCGTTGTTATTTAGATATTTAGAAGATTTTTTATGGGCAATTTGACAACACTTTACCGATGATTTTTTTTTTTTTTTTGCATATCATTGATGATGACAGAAAGACATTTATACAAGAAAGAATATATAAACAAGTTATATCAATACTTTCGATTGTTATTGACTATTTATTATTGCGTATGTATAAACAGAACACCTTCTTTTCTTTTTATTCTGTTTCTCATCAAAATATAAATAGAACAACATGAATACATTCAATAGTAGGTTATAGTTAATCTAACGATATTCTGATTGCATTTTATTTCACTTTCAACAAAAAAAATAATTCTTGTCATATACATTAGTCATTATATGCTTGTAAATTTATTAATGAAAATCTGGGATAATACACATATATAATAACATTAAATGACAGATAAACTAAAATAATTAACTAAGGAGCATAATCATTTATACTATTGTAACTTTTTTTTGCTTTTGTATGTTAGGATTAAAAAAAATGTCATCTATTTCTTACTTCATAAAATACACACACTTGCTTCTCTTTCAATGTTTACTTTCGCAATGGCATTAATGTCCAAATATAATATTTAGACAAAGAAAAGACGTGTTATACATCATGCAATGTCAATCCTAATTATCATAAAAATAACCAAATATACACATACAGAAAAAAGTAAACGACCATGATCCCACAATTATATACATCAGTGTCCAATGTCAGATTAACTTTGTAGACCTATCGTACATTGAAATCACCATCACCTAACTAATTTTTCTTTTTTCTAATAAATATATTTTTGTTAATTATCCAGTTACATTCTTTTTTTACACAATTAGTAATATAAAAATAGAACTATAATTGTTTACATTGTGAAGTATCAGGAATGAACAGGGAGATGTTAACCTCGTTCTAGAATTTCTAACTTTCTGTAAAAAATTTTTAATCTTGGCTTTGCGAAGCGGAAAATGTAGTAGCGACATAAAAAACTACTTTTTATGTCAACTTTTCTGTGTTAATCTTCTGCGTCGGAATCCGTGTGAATGATAATTGTGATCAATTATACCTATCCAAAGGACAAGTTTAATGGACGATCACATTTCATGCTATGCACCTTTTTTACTGTAAATATATTGATCTCCAATCGATATTATTTCCATCAATGATGACATATAAATGTCAGATAAAATTAATGCCTATATCTTTTTCTCTTTAAAAGATGATAAATCTATATATTTTTATTGATCTAACTTTCAATATAAAAAATTTTAAGCTAATATTGAAAGTATTCTTTTCAGAATATCCATTGGACCCATGTTTCCAATTAGAGTGGAAATGAGGAATGATTTTCTAACTCTAAAAAGCTTTTCCGATTGTCTGTCGAAACCTTTTATTTTCACTACAAAATTTAAAGTCTTTCATGCGCACTGAAAACAAATCGGAAAATCTGATTCAAGCTATCAAAGAAAAATGACAGATAAGTTACAATGAATAGATTATGTAAGCACTATCGTCAACTAAACCTTCGTTTTTTTTACCCACGTTATCAAGTTATTTAGGATTGAACATTGAATTTCTCATTAATTCGATAATTACTGCCATTTGCAGCTTTGTGATGATATTTTATAAAAAAAAAGAAAAAAGCACATTTGAGAAGTAGTTGGTGTTTTAGCGTCCTACGTAACTCTATTTTCTTCAGTATATATTTTCTATCTATTTTTAATACGAATTAAAGTAACTTTTGGTTCTTTTTTTTATATTTTATTTCTGATTATTAATGGGATTAATCAAATATATATAATTTCTACTTTGACAATGACAAATTGATAATTTTGATAATAGTAAATAAAAAAAATTCTTATCTTATTATTAAAATCAATCATTTTTTTCTTTGAAAAGCGGAAATATTATCAATAGATAAAACGGAAATGAAATAGTGTGTAATTAACTTGTGAAAGTTTGATGTTATTACATGCATAGAGCGGCTTAACTCATGTTTTAGAGTGTGTACGGTTCTATAAATAAATATAATGGAAAATTTTACTTTTTTATATTCAAAAAAAGATTGTATGTCATTCTAGCCTTCTTTAATTTGATCAATTCCAATTTGTATAATAGAGAAAAAATCGGCTATAGTTGTTGGATCTTTCACCAGGTGCTTTTTTTTTCCAAACCAGATATAATATAGAATTTCGAGTCATTAAGATGGAAAATGACAAAGAGAGAGAGAGAAAGAGAGCAAAAGAAAGAGAGTATAGCATAAGATGATTCTCCTATTCTTTCTCTTCATGTTCCTAATTGAATTCTTTTCCCTATACACATCTTTCAGTTGAATATTTGTTGTTGTTGTTGTTGTTGTTTAATACTCGACATTTTTTTAGTTTCTCTAGTGAAAATAAACATATACACATCACATATATATATATTTTTTGTACATATCTGATTATTAGTCCAAAACGTTTCGCGATATTAATAAGTATTCCAATTAGAATAAATATTAATAATACTATGTTAATGATCATAAATCGAAGTGCAACGAATCCATAAAGTGGAAAACAAGGTAATTGAATGTCGCATAGAAACGAATAAACCGTTAATTCTACAAAAGATACTGAATCGTATGAGGTTATAATTTTCTCTTTCGATTGATGCCGTCTCTTAACACTTTTAACGGCTGTCAACGCGTTTTTACATGAAAACGATATACAGTAGAGAAAGTTTGTTATGCTTTTTAAATGAAAACGCAGCCGCTGAGTTTTTTGTAGTATATATCAGCGGGCAATCTACATTATTTATGATAGAAAATTATTTTTTCTCTGATACTTTTTAATGTAAAAGCGAGTCTTGACAATTTTCTCAAACATCATACAGATGGTTGTCACTTTATTTTTATCTCTTGTCTACCCATATTTTGTATCGTTTTTTAGATTGTAAAATTTGAGCCATACATTCAGATAGTGTTTTTTGACATTTTCCTTATTTTAATCAAATATCGTTTACATCATCAACTTCAAAAAGCTTTCATACTATGAAAACAATCAAGGATTATCCATTTATATTTAAATAATAATGTTTACAATTCAACATTATGATGACAAAGGATTTCAAGAACAATTTTTCTTTTTTTGTGGTAACGGTTTTACCGGAAAACGCAAAACACTCATATAGTATAAGTCAGATCAGAGACATTATTATTAAAGAATAGTGAAGTGAAGGCAAACTGGAAGAGAAAGAATGACCCTATAAAATTCGATTGAAGGAGAAAGAAAATGTTGTAATTAATAATATCTGTAAAAATCACTTTCACAATTCTTATTGCTGAACAAGATGATATTTGATCTGAATTATCCATTAGGCCAGCTATTAAGAGCAGTGTTGTAGTCAGGATTTTTCCATGACAGTGAGACATGGATCCATCCTCGGACCTACGATGGTGATAGCGCTGATTAAGGGTATACTCTCTTTTTTCACTTTAAATTTAGAGCCTGAGATGGGATCTGAAGTATTTCTGTTAAAACTTTGGTCTCGACTGGGCCTTTTTTCCCAATAGTCATGTAATACGGAGGTTGAAACCATCAGTGTTTTGATTTTGATCATTATATATATTATTAGTCACGTCTCTTTTTCTACAACATTTGCGACAATACTCATATTTTTACGAAAGACCAGGAGGTAGGGAAGGGATCCCCTGCTTCTTGAAAAAATTTACTCCGAAAATTGGGTCTTTGACTTACGAGAATAACCCTATTTTTAGAGTAAAGCATTTATTTTTTCTCTTTCTGTGTTTGATAGAAAACAAAAAAATTTCTATAATGTACATAAATAAGATCAGATAAATAGAATAGACTGTATCATGGCTTCATTAAATGTATTTTGATATTATAAGGTGTTTTTATATTATAAGGCTTTGTGGTAAAGTAAATAGAGTTAGACAGAAGGAAATTCAGTCTTGCTTTAGGAGAAAACTGCTTAGAATATTCATCTTTTTTTTTCAGTTTTACTCCAGTTTTTAAAAGCATAAAAATTGGTTTTTCTCCCCTGCCTCCGATGTATCGGGGCGCCCCTGCGAAAGACCAAGTGGTTTCATTGTGAAGAGAACACTTTGCTCTTTCAGACTATGTATAAGACGACGTTTTGAACGCACTGAAAGAAACGAAACAGTAATAAAACTAAAAAACTCTTGTTTCTTAGCCGTTGGAGCAAAAAGTTAAAAATCTCATAACTTTTTCAAAAAAAAGCCATGAAACGCTGGACGTGGTTATATTTTGTAGTCAGACTTTCTTTTATATTAGATTATGTTCAATTTAAAACCAAAACCTTTGTCAAAGAAGAGAGGTTTCCTTAAATTATGACCATCAGTTTTGAGGTAAAACGCTATTCTGATGTGATAATTTGCTTTTAATTTAGAAGCGTAAAGTGTCTGTTAATAAATATATAAAAACGATTCACTGGAACTATGCAGATTAATTATTTGGAGTGGTCGAAATAGATTACATGTGTAATAATGTAGCTCTATACAGCGTAGTTCATTACATATGACAACTTTCAATAGTTTGCCTTTATGATGAACCGTAGCTTGTTAAGCATGGATCTTGGTAATCATTCCTCAAATTCCGACAATTCAACAAGTGGCGCACCAACATTATTTGCACGAATCGGTTTTGCATCTGCTTGGGTTATGATAGCGGTAGCTGGGATTGTGGGTAAGTGAAAAATCGAATATTTTTCATACAATATTCTTTTGTGTATTTTGTTCGCTTATAGGAAATGGTTTAGTAATATTTGTGGCTATAAGATTTCAGAAGTTAAACAATGTTACAAATTGTTTTATTGTCAATCGTATGTATTTGCATTTTTAATTCATTGAAATGGTATCGTCTCGATGGTATCGTCCCGATTCGTCGACTTATTAATTTTTTTCCTGACTCGTCGACTACATGATGCGGTGAAAGATGTTAACGAGTGCCTGACACTATAAAATGTCGACGAAATAGGAAAATCAATTAACGTGTCGACGAATCAGTACTGAACCATTGAAATACCGTAATAAATCGAGCTATTTTATTAATATTTTGCACAAATTAAGAAAATAGGAAAACATCTAAGAGAAGAAAAACTGTTATCAGACGCGTACGTTTTACAGTGACGCTCTTTTCTGAACACTTACTTGCATCGAAAAGTTTGACACAAAAATAGAGTCTTTTGCCTTTGTGTTGTTGATACTCCAAATAAACACCTTCGATTTTAAAAAAATATTCGTTATTTAGTATAGGGATGGTAGCCTATGTTTTACGACGTTGGACGTAGAACATGTGCTTTTTTTCTATTTAGTTGCCGTTACCGACATTGTCTTTTTGGCATTTTGTATGCCGTTACTCGTTATTCAATACACATTAGATCAATGGTTTTTTAGTGATATTCTGTGTAAATTACTCAATTTTATCTCATTTGTTAGTGTACTTGTCACCGTTCTTACATTAGTCGCAATGACAATTGATCGATATATATATGTTGTACGACCATTCGAAAAATTAACGTGGCGAAAACCGTCAAATGTTTTTGGTCTCACTTTTTTTATCTGGTTAAGTACGTATGCGTATCACAATAATCAAATAAAAAATTTGACTTTTTTTTTCTTCTAGTTTCTTGTGTTTTTGCATCACCATTTTATGAACATTACGGTATTAGTGAAAAACACGACGATAATTCAAAACAGTGCGTTCTATTAAGTCCAGAAAATTTACAGAAAAAATTTCGTATCTACATTGTTACACTCTATTATTTTATACCATTGACAATAATTATCGTCTGTTACGGAAAATTATTATATTTCGTATCCAAAAAAGAAAATAAACTAAAACCAAAAACGGTAAGCTTAGGAAAACATATAACAATCTTCGCTTCACAATATTCATAGGCAGACTATCAATGAATAAATTGAAAGACTAAAATGTAGCTGCTGTTCATTTACGATGCTTTCAATCAATTCTATTTGTCTCCATGTGATTTGATCTGAGTTTTAAGGGTCTGATCGTTAGATCCAACTTGTTCAAAAGCGATGAATGATTTAGTCATCGCGTTTAAGAAAACGTTTCAAAATGTATTCCGGGTCGGTCGGTCGCTATTCCGCTGCTCCCCTAGTCCGCTATTTCTCTATTCCCCGACTATTTCTCTCTTATTCCTCTATTCCGTCCGCTCTTCCTCTATTCCCCAATTATTCCTCTATTATAGAATTTAAATTCTAATTTATTTTATTTTATTTTGTATAGTTCGGTTTCTTTGATTGTATTGTTGATA